TATGGACGCGTCTCAGGTGGCGGGAGGTCTTTTCATTAGAACATAGACACCCTACCAGCACTTGGCATTCTACAGCGCCTCAGCGCGCAGGAGGATTTTTCCGTCTGTTGACGAGGCGCTGTCAGGTCGCGGCCGTTTTTTCTTCCTTCTTTTCTCGAAGACATCCGAAAAACCCCAGGAGCCCTGGGACGCGCACCGAACCTAGAGAAACACCACAGAATTTCAGATAAGACCAGCAAAAGCTTGCACCCCCCCGCAGATCTGCGAGAGCTGCCCAGAACTTGCGAGAACCGCCCAGAACCTGCCCAGAAAGTTCCCAGACCTGCTCCCTCCTTTCCTCTCTCCCGCGTCCTCTTCCTCCTTCTCCTGGGCCGGAGCTCGTTCGGAGTCCCCTCAGTGATTGGACCTGGTGCAGCTGGATGCAGGCGTCGACTCGCAGTGCAAGTTCGCTCTGTCGCCTGCCCGAACTGCCCAGACCCCCCCCGGTGCCAGGCGCCGCCCCGCGGGCGCGGCGAGGCTGGCGTTGGGCGCCCTTGGCCGGCTCCTCTGCTGGGGGCCCAGGCTGTGGCTCGTGTGGCTCGCCTCCAGGCTCCGCTGGTCCGCTCCTGTCGTCGTCGTCGTCGTCGTCGTCGTCGTCGTCGGCGTCGTCGGCGTCGTCGGCGTCGTCGGCGTCGTCGGCGTCGTCGGCGTCGGCGTCGAGGTCGGCGTCGAGGTCGGCGTCGGCGTCGGCGTCGGTGTCGGCGTCGAAGTCGGCGTCGGCATCGGCGTTGGCGTCGGCGTCGAGGTCGGCGGTGTCGTCGTCGTCGTCGTCGTCGTCGTCGTCGTCGTCGTCGTCGGCGTCGGCGTCGTCGTCGTCGTCGTCGTCGTCGTCGTCGTCGTTGTCTTCGTCGTCGTAGTCGTCGTCCTCGCCGCCGCCGCCGTCCTCCTCCTCCGCCTCTGCCTCCTTCTTCCTTCTCCTCCTCCACCTCCTCCCTGCTCCCTTTTCCCTCCTCCCTCCGCCCTCGTCGCTCTTCTCGCCGAACATTTGCGTGCTGGCGCGTCGGAGTCGGGTGGGCACCCCATTCCTCCCGATAGGCTCCCCCCACGCTCCCTCTTCCTTCCGTTGGCCCCCTCTCGTTGCGTTGGTTTCAGCTGCCCACTCGACGGCCACGGGTTTTGATCAATGCGAGCACATGGCCCCCGATACTGATTGGACCTCAGTAGGCAGAGCTCCCACGCGCATACTTGGTATGATAATGCCAGGGTTGCCCGACCAATTGAAGTCCACCCCTGGAGGCGGCTGATGCTCTCACGGTCGGGCGGTGCACATGACCTTGCTCGGTAAAGACAGGCAGTCTCGTTTCAGAATAGCTTGCGAAAATATTTATCCTGTTGGCCTTTGCCAGGCCATTGCTCGGGCTGTTTATTCATCGATTTTGTTTTTTTTTCCCCTGTCCCGATGAGGGCCCGGATGTATATTGCCCGCCAGACACACTGGGAGTCCTAGAAGGCCTCAAGTTTTTCGACGCTCCTTGGAGCGAGGAAGCCGACAAGAGGTTCCTGGTCCCTCCAGACGTTGCGGGCAAGAGGCGACGAAGAAGGTTGACCCCCAGTCTCACAGATTTATCCCAGAGGCTGTTTACCCCCCTTGCCCCTTGTCAGGAGGGCAGCGTATGCCCTGTCCACAGTCCAGCTCCGAAGCCCGATGAGCAGGACTGTTTTGAAGCGGTGGACGAACAATCATATCTTGAAATGCAGAGCGCGGATGCTGCGGCCTTTTTGGCCAGCCCCGCTCACCCCGCTCCTTCCGCTTCCTTCGACCCGTCGTCGACGCCGTCGTTTGTCCCTCCTCCTCCTCCTCCTCCTCCTCCTTCTCCTCCTCCTCCTCCTCCTCCTCCTCCTCCTCCTCCTCCTCCTCCTCCTCCTCCTCCCCCTCCAGCCTTGTCCGAGGAGCAGCGAGCTCGGATCGAGGCCAATCGGCGCGAGGCCCGCGCCGCAGGAGCCTCGACCACAGGGCCAGAGTCCCCTGGACGGCTGGCCATTGGCTCATCGGCTCCTTCTTCTTAGAGGAACCTCCCGGGGGGAGGAAGGCCCCCGACCTTTTCTACGTCGGGCGGGGACTAGACCAGGCGGTGGCGTAAGTGGTGGATCCTCGTGTGATCCAGTGCGCCACCCGCCTGGCCTTTCGCCCCCCCTCTCTCATCGAGTACGCACCATGCGAAGCCGCGCGTCGCATCAACCTCCCTTTTCCCTTTTCCCTCCCCCCTCCTCCCTCCTTTGTCCTCCTCCCCCTCCCCCTCCCCCTGCTCCTCCTTCTGCGGCCCGGGAGGGTCCCGATTCGGAAGGTGCCTCCTGCCGCGGGCCGCGCTCGCCTGCGCGGCGCGCGCGCCGCGCGCCCCGGCCGCCAGCTGCCGCCGCCGCTGCCGCCGATGCTGCTGCCTCCGCTGCCGCCACCGCCGCCGCCGCCGCTGCCGCCGCTGCCGCCAGCTGCCGCCAGCTGCCGCTAGCACCGCCACCTCCCCCGCGCCGCCGTGGCGCGCTCTGGCAGCGCGCCTGGTCGCCACAGCCTGCGCCCCCGTCGCCAGCGCCAGCGCGGCCGCCGCGGCGGGGGGCGCCGCGCCGCCTGCAGAGCATGGCCGCCGCACTCTGGCAGTGTCTCCTCCGCGCCGTCGATTTTTGTTGGTGTTCGATATATATATATATATATATATATATATGTTTACTTTGCTTGGACATTGGTCGAGTGATCGCTGCGTCTGCGTGGCACGAGGGAGAATGTGAAGGAATGCCCACTAGGCCTGTAGGCCAATCAACTGCGCCTGGCGGGGCGTTGCGGAAAACGGGATGCGCCACCGTCCTCCCCCTGCTTCTCCCCGACCAGGGCCGCGCCGCTGGAGGAGCTTCCGAGCCGCGTCCTGTGTGCCCTTTCGCTGCTGCTCTCCCCCTCGAGCAGCGCAGGGCCGCCGTCCCACGCGCGGCGCTGCACCGCGCGGGCCACCGCGCGGCAGGCGCGGTCCAGCTCGGGCGGCTGCCCTGTCGGTCGTTCGCCAGGGCACCTCCAGGCCCCACGATGTGCCGACAGGGCTCGCCGTGGGGTCTGGAGGCGCTGCACCGCGCGGGTCACCGCGCGGCAGGCGCGGTCCTGCGGCCTCCACGGCGAGCCTTGTCGGTCGTTCGCCAGGGCGCCGCTCGTGCTTCTCCCGCTTGGCTCGGCGCGCGGCCTGGAATGCGCGCAGCGGCGCCCACGGCGGACTCGTCCCCGCCCGCGGGGTGGCGCACGGAAGCGTCCACCCAGCGCTCTGGCAGTCGTGCCTCCACCGGCCCGCCAGGCCCGCCCACCGCTTTGGCCAGCCCACCATCCCACCATGGCGCCTGATTGCGCCTCCCCCTGGCTTGCAGGTGGCTGCGTAGAAAGCCGTCCGCATCCAGGGGTTCCTGGTCAGGGGCACCGCCGCCCGTCTGGTTGAAACACGTCGCGAACGCAAGACGATGACGGACGAGGAAAAGCAGGGCGGTACTTTTCAGCACAAGGACTCAGGCCCCCTATTTTATTGGAGATGGTCAGGAGCTCAGCCACGCATTCAACTCAGTTGGCCTCCAAGTTCGCAAAGAGAGCGCGGTCGGAATGCGATTTTGTACTGCTGCCTCTTCCGAACAAGAACAGGGTCAATCACAACAGAACCTGAGCTAGCCACAGTCGGGACCGTATCCACGGACGAACCGTGCCGTGAGAAAGAGCGAGCATCGGGGCCTATGACAGACCAGGATGAAAGCTGGTCCACGATCTGTTGGCACTGCTCCTTAGACGCATGCGTGGCGTCAAGCCGCTCGTCCAGAGGCCCGTCGCCGATCATGTGAAGCTCGCCTACTGCGCCGTCGAACTCGTTCAAGACGGGAAGAGGCGTCCGCGGACAAGGCCAGCTGCCCCGCAGGGGCAGGCGTTCGGCCTGGACCATCGCCACCTTGGGCGCAAGCTCCCTGCAGCGTCTCATCTGAGCTGTGCCCGCCCGCGCGCGCGGACTCGGAGACCAGCGCAGTCAGGCGCTTGGGCTCGGCGTCGCTGGACGGCTGCGCCGCACAGCAGCTTGGCCCAGGAGGAAGCCGTGGGAGAGGATGCACTCCAGCAGGCGCTACTTGGCCATCGCCGCGTAGATCAAGCTCAGGATGCCCACTAACTGGACCGCCGTCACGAGGAGCATTGGCTAGTGGAGGTACGTGCTCCTGACATCAGACTGCTGCGCGCCAAGTGGCGCCGACTCCGCGAAGGCGGCGGCCCTGTGTCAAGGGTCACGAACGGCCTCCTGCATGATCCAGCAGCCCCGAGCTGCCAGATGAGCAAGCGGCCCATGAGCAGGAGGGACTAGCTGAGCAGCACCACGTACACACGTACACTAGTGCAGCCGGGACATTGGAAGGCATGCCGAAAGGCCACATGGCGTGCGCGGCAATGGCGCTGAACGGCACGAGATGCCGAGGCCGCGCCACTCGGGCGGCACGGCAGCACCGCAGGCGCTCGCGCAGGCGCGCAGGCGGGCTCTGTGCTGGGACCAGGAAAGGTGCGCAGCAAGACGTGGCCTGCCAGGCTTGAGCCCCAACCCTGTCGAGGTGGTCCTGGTCGTGGTCGTGGTCTGGTCGTGGTGGTTCTCGTGGCGGTCGTTGAGGTCGTGGGGGGGCGGGGTGGGGGCGGGCGGCCAACGAGGATAGGAACAATTGGGGGGTGCAGGGCGGAGGGCGAGGAGGAAGAGGGCGAACGGGAGGTTGGGGGGAAGGAGATCCTTGTGAAGGAGAGGGGTCCTGAGGGAAGCAGGCCCTGAGCTTTTCCGTTGCCTTCGGGCTCCCGGGGCCCCGGCCGTAAGCATAATTATGCAGGATGAAAAGCTCGTACCGGGGCAAGCCCCCTGGGTCCAGGATCCGTTTCCATCAGGGCCCGCTTCCTTCATGGCAAGAAGAGGGTGCGGGAAGGGGGGGGGACTGGAGGGAGGAAGCGCCTGCCCTGCTGCTGGCCCTTCTTGTCCACGCAGGCTCTCCCACTTCCGGAAGAACTGGTACCTCTGGGCGGTGCTCTTCTATGCAACCAACATGAAGAGTTTCGTGAACGATTTGGAGGGGTCCTTCGCGAGGTCCTCGGGATGATGGTAATAGTATTGGTACTGTTGATGATAATGGTAATTGTGCTGGTTGTTGTTGTTGTTGTTGTTGTTGTTGTTGTTGTTGTTGTTGTTGTTGTTGAACATTATTCCTTCTAAAGAATTATTATTGTTGGGACCCCTGGTGCGCGACCTCTGCGCCGCGCCTAGGCCGCAGCTACATTTTCATCATTTTTTCGCGAAAGCTTCAGAAAAGTGGATGAGCTCCGGATCCGGTTTTTTGTTGACGCTCGTTTTCCCTTGCAAAAAACAATAGAAAATGAAAATTCTTGTTTTTACTTGATCAAATTGCAAGAATCCCTTGCAAAAAATAAGGTAAAGTGGACATTCGTGCGCGCAAGACGAAATCCTTCCAAAACCTTAGGTTTCGTAGCGATTTTAACATAAAAACATCAAAAACCCAATGGTTTTCTCAGAAAAAATTGTCAAAATGTCCTTCCGCGCGCTCTTGCGGGTGAGTATACTCCTACGTGTGACTGGACCTGTTTGCGAAAGCAGGAGAAAGTATGGCACCCCTTTGTGTCCAGAGCCGCGCCGTCTGCGTTATTCCTTTCTCGCTTCTCTCCTTTCCTCCTTGTCCTGCTCCTCCTCCCCCTCTTGCGCCTCGGAGCCGTATTGGAACTGTCGATGGCCATCTCCCTGTCTCCCTCGCATGTCTGCTTGTACATATGTATAATTTCAGAACTAAACGTGCATGTGATCGTTTAGAACATGGTGGACCGTGCGTATGTCACGAACCTTGTGTACTTTCTCTCCCTCCGTCTGGCTGTGCACGCGCGCGTTGGGCAGTGAGAGTTAGGATCACAGCGCCACCAGTGTATGAGCAATGCATGCGTCATCCTTGGGACTGTATAACAGCAGAAACAGACAACATTGCATCGCAGCGGGACAGCCATCGGGACAACCATCGGGACAACCATCGGGACAACCATTTGGACAAGCATCGGGATAACGATCGGGACAACCATAACCATCAGGACAACCATCGGGGCAACCATCGAGACAACCATCGGGACAACGATACCTTCTCTCTTGTGTCCTCCCACATCCCTCAGGAAGTTGCCCTAAAGATGTGACCGACTCCTCTCTCTCCTTCTCTCTGTCTCTCGCTCTTTCTCTGCTTCATATCTATCATACGTAACACATCTACTTGTGTAATCGCCTTCCCAGGAATTTGCCTCAAAAATGTGACCAACTATCTTGGCACTGCGTACCATCTCACGTGTACCGTGTACCACATCTTCTCAGGTTGCCTCACACATGTGACGAATCTCTTTCTATCTCTCTCTCCACTGGCTCTCTGTCTTGCTCTCTCTCTCTCTCTCTCTGTCTCTCTGTACTATGTATGTCATACGCAACAAATGCACCATGCGGGGCACATGCGGGGCCCAAACAAGTGATCAACCTCTGCGGGTGTGTACTCCACGCCAGTGTAGTATCCACGATCGTCCGCGCGCCACGAAGTGAAGTGTCCTGACGTCATAGGGCGGGAAGCTGGGTGTGGGTGGTTCCCGAGAGTCGTGTGGATGTTTGGTAGAGCTTGCATTGCCCCCCCACGAAGTGGGGGTATTGGCTGGCGTCGCATGAAAACCCTGGCACTGGGGAGAACACTGAGCGTTCGGGTAAAATGATTGTTGTTGTTGTTGTTGTTGTTGTTGTTGTTGTTGTTGTTGTTGTTGTTGTTGTTGTTGTTGTTGTTTGTTGTTTGTTGTTTGTTGTTTGTTGTTTGTTGTTTGTTGTTTGTTGTTTGTTTGTTTTCTGTTGTTGTTGTTGTTGTTGTTGGTGTTGTTGTTGTTGTTGTTGTTAAATCGGAGCGGGCGCCAGGCCCCGGCGCCTCCCCCAAAGCAACAGCGACAACAGCAACAGCACCACCACCAACAACAACAACAACACCAACAACAACAGCAACAGCAACAACAACAGCAGCAGCAGCAACAACAACAACAGCAACAGCAACAGCAACAACAACAACAACAACAACACCAACAACAACAACAACAACGCGGACGGCTCCCCCTCGAGACTTCCTCGCAATTCACTGAGGAATGATGGGTTCCTACACTGGGGCCTCGGCGCCCCCCCCCCCCACACCCCTACGCCCCCGCACCCCCACGCCCCCAGACACCCAAACGGCCCCCAGACACCCAAAGGGACGCTCTGTAGGGATCCAACTCGGCCTCCTCCCAGGTCTTCTACAATATACGGTCACCCCATCGTCTCGGTCCGCCGTCGACTGAGGAAAGGATGATGATTCTGGTGGAGCTGATGATGATGGTGGTGGTGGTGATGATGATGCTCATGATGCTGATGATGATGATGCTGATGATCATGATGATGATGATGATACCGGTGGTGGTGGTGGTTGTGTTGATGATGATGAAGCTGATGCTGATGATGATGGTTATGATGATGATGGTGGTGGTGGTAATGATGCTGACGATGATGCTGGTGACGATGATGATGATGCTGATGATGATGGTGGTGGTGGTGGTGGTTGTGGTGATGATGATGATGATGGTGATGGTGAGGATGGTGGTGATGATGAGTATGCTGATTATGCTGATTTCAGATTATGATGATGCTGATGATGATGATTCATGGTGGTGGCGGTGGTGGTGGAAGTGGTGGTAGTGGTGGTGATGATGATTATTGTCTCTTACTCGGCCTCCTCCCAGGTCTCCTACAAGGCACTGTCAACAGCTGGTCGGATCCCTATAGGGATCCTATGACAGCTGGTGGGGTCCCTATAGGGGTCCTGTTGCAGCTGGTCGGATTCCTATAGGGATCCTATTGCAGCTGGTCGGATCCGTATAAGGGTCCTATGGCAGCTGGTAGGATCCCTATGGGGTTCCACTACAACTGGTAAGGTCCCTGTAGCGATTTGGTTACAGCTGGTAGAATCCCTACATGGATCCTAGTGCAGCTGGTCTGATCCCTATTAAGGATCCTATTACAGCTGGCTGGATCCCTGTAGGGATCCGATTGCAGCTGGTAAGATCCATCGAAGGAACTTATCGCAGCTGGTAGGATCCCTGTAGGGATCCTATGACAGCTGGTAGGATCCCTGTACGGATCCTCTTGCAGCTGGTAGGATCCCAGTAAGGATCCTATTGCAGCTAGTAGGGTCCGTATACGGATCTTTATGCAGCTGATCTGATTCTTATAGGAGTCCTATCACAGCTGGTGGGATCTCTGTAGGGATCTTTTCGCAGCTGGTAGGATCCCTATACGGATCTTATTTCAGTTGTAGGATCCCTATGGGGATCCTGTTACAGCTGGTAGGATCCCTATATGGATCCGATTGCAGCCGGTAGGATCCTTATCCGGATCCTGTTACAGCTGGTAAGATCATTATAGGGATCTTATGACAGCTGGTGGGATCCCTGTGGGGAGCCCGTGACAGCTGGTAGGATCCGTATAGGGATCCGATGACAGCTAGTAGGATCCCTGTAGGGATCCTAATGAAGCTGGTGGGATGTCTACAGGGATCCTCTTACAGCTGGTCGGATCCATATTTAGGATCCTATTGCAGCTGGTAGCATCCCCGTTGGCAGCGTAGTGCAGCTGGTCGGATCCCGATTCGGGTCCTATGACAGCTAGTAGGATCTCTGTAGTGATCTTATTGCAGCTGGTCGGATCCCTGTAGGGATCCTGTTACAGCTGGTAGGATCCCTATATGGATCCTATTGCAGCTGGTAGGATCCTTATCCGGATCCTGTTGCAGCTGGGAGGATCCCTATCGGGATCTTATGACAGCTGGTAGGATCCCTGTTGGGATCCCGTGACAGCTGGTAGGATCCGTATAGGGATCCAATGACAGCTAGTAGGATCCCTGTAGGGATCCTAATGCAGCTGGTGGGATTTCTACAGGGATCCTCATACAGCTGGTAGGATCCCCATTTTGGATCCTGTTGCAGCTGGCTGGTAGCATCCCCGTAGGCAGCCTACTGCAGCTGGCCAGATCCCGATTCGGATCCTATGACGGCTAGTAGGATCTCTGCAGTGATCTTATTGCAGCTGGTCGGATCCCTATAACTATCTCATTGCAGCTGGTAGGATCCCGATAGGGATCCGTTGACAGCTGGTAGGATTGAGAAGGATGATCCTTATAGGGTTTGTGTGGGATCCTTACAGGGTTTCTGTAGGATCTGCAGGATCCTTATAGGATTTCTGTATGATCCTTATCGGGTTTCTCTAGGATCCTTATAGGGTTTCTGTAGGATCCTTATCGGGTTTCTGTAGGATCCTGATCGGGTTCCTGTCGGATCCTTATAGGGTTTCTGTAGGATCCTTTCGGGTTTTTGTCGGATCCTTATAGGGTTTCTGTAGGATCCCTGGAGGGCTTCTGTCGGATCCTTATAGGGTTTCTGTAGGATCCTCATCGGGTTTCTGTGGGATCTTGATAGGGTTTCTGTGGGATCCCTGTAGGTTTTTTTTATATAGGATCCCTGTCGGGTTTTTAATGGATCCTTGTACGGTTTCTGTCGGATCCTTATAGGGTTTCTACAGAACCCTTGTATGGTTTCTATAGGATGCCTGTAGTTTTTGTTTGGATCCCATTCGTTTTTTGTTTTATTTATTTATTTATTTATTTATTTATTTATTTATTTATTTATTTACTATATATAACCGAACACGGTGGAGCGGCGGAAACGTAAGCGTGAGCTCTCGTATGCCTTGTTTTCAGTATCAGCTCAGGCTAACATGTGTCTGCCTCCAAGGGGCCGAAGCCCCTGATCGAACCAAAAAGGTTGCGTAAAGGGGCTGAGTGTCTGGCATCCTCAGAAGGTCTCTAGAGGGACCCTGGGTCAACTCGCACGCCCCAGAATTCTAGATGCCAAGACACCTGTAAGCAGCCTCCCCTCGCGATTCGACACGGTTCGACCAGGGTTTCAACACCAACTCTCGCGCGTAGCGCGTAAATCTAGCAGAGAGCGCGCAGCGCTGCAGAATACCGGTGAACTCGTGCGCCT